GATTGTGAGTGTGTTAATTTTGCTAATGTGACACACCTGGGGAATCCCTGGGGAAGAGACTCAATGAGGGATTTGTCCAGATTAGGCTGGTCTGTGGATGTGTCTGTAGGGTGTTTTTTTTTTTTTTTTTTTTTTTTTTTTAATTACCTTAATTGATGTAGGGGACTCAGCCTGGAATTGGGCATCAATCACCATTACATGCTTGTAGACCCTCAACTACATAAAGAGAGAGAGAGAGAGAGAGAGAACTAGCTGAAATGCTAAGTATTTATTTCTCTGCTTTTGGATGTGGGTGTCATATAACAAGCAGCTTCAAGCTCCTGTCATCTTGCCTTTCTCAAAATAATGGACTGTAGTCTGGAATTGTGACCTAAAATAAAGCCCTTTTCCCCTAAGCTGCTTTTTTCAGGGCTTTTTATCACACTGATAGGAACAAAGCTAAGATAGTGAGGTTTGAAGTCAGCCTGGACTGTCTAGTGACTCTGCCTCATAAAAACAAAAAGCAAAGCAGAAGCAACAGCAGCAGCAGCAACAATGAAAACCAGCCCCCAAATCCTGCATTAACTTTGCTTTGAGGCTGAACTTGTTTTAATAACTGCTGGTTACTTCTGATAGTCTTTTAAGTTAGGTTTTTTTTTTTGTGAATTGTGGTAAGGATCAGAACTTTATGCATTCTGGTGAGATGGCTCTTTGAGTAAGTGTACTTAGTGCCAAGCTTGATGATGTTGGGTTCAATCTCCAGTCCCCACATTGTGGAAGGAGAGAACCAACTCCTGTTACTTGTTCTCGGACCTCTATGGGTCCTCTGGCATGCATGCACTCACACAAATAAACACTAACAATTAATAAATACATACACACATAAGTACATAAATAGAATGTAATAATAACAAAATAAATAAAAGTAGGGGCCTAGAGAGATGGCTCAGTGTTTAAGAACACTAGCTACTCTTCCAGAGGACCTGGGTTTGATTCCCAGCATTCACATGGCAGCTCACAACTGTCTATAACTTCAGTTCCAGGGGATCCAATGCTCTCTTTTGGCCTCTGAGGGCACCAGGCACACATGAGGTACACAGATATATGTGCAGAGAAAAAAAATGCTCATATACATAAAATAAATGAATTTACATAGTCTATGACATACAGATGTGCTTAGATAGAATTATAGGTATAATATGGACATTACATAGGCCCCTTAGGATGGAGAATATTTTGTAAGAGCCAAAATAAGGTTATAACAAAAGGCACTCATTTAAAACATCTTGGGTCTTTGTAGGCGCAACACATGTGCATTTCATTTTGCTCATGCAGATAGGACCATAGAGCATTCAAAAGATGTCTGGACTGCTGAAGGTGGGTTTCAGCCGCTTTGAATAGCTAACTCTGTTATCTTGCAAGTTACACAAGCTTCCTGGGCCTGGATTTCCTCTTGGTTTCATAAGCGGTTTGGCTTAACCAATGTTAGATGTCACTTTCAGTTGCCTTCTTTTGGTGAATAGTAGCCCTGCCTCTTCGAAATCTAGTTGGAACTAAAGTTGTGTGTGTGTGTGTGTGTGTGCGCGCGCACATGTTTGTGCACATATGTACACGTGCTTACATAGGTGTAGGTCAGAGGTAAACCTTGGGTGCTGTCTACCTTGTTCTCTTGAGGCAGGAGCTCGTACCGGCCTGGACCTCGGGCTAGGCTGAGTTAGGCTAGGCTAGCTGGCCAGCGAACCCCTGGATCCTCCTGTCTCTGCTTTCCAGCCCTGGGATTACAAGAAGAGAGGGGTGGGAAAGCTTCAAAAGCAGTCATCAAGCAAGCAAGCAAGCAGCAACAAGTGGTTTTTTTGTTTGTTTGTTTGTTTTTGTTTTCGTTTTTTTTTTTTTTTTTTTTTTTTTTTTGAAGGAATGGGTTTTTAAGGAGAAAAAGTAGGGATCTGTGCTAGAGTGAGTTGGTAAGTCCTGATTGGACATGTTAGTCAAATAACAAATTTTGATTATTGGACTTTGGTGTTTTGTCTCAGGAATAAGTCAGTGACCACATAAGGGAATGGACCTTGGGGTCTAGTTTAAGGAGTGTAATCTAACAGTTTTTAGTAAAGGGGAGAAAGAATAAAAGGCAAAACCTGTTGATGCCATGTTTGCCATGCTTGGGCCTGTGTTTACCATGCTGGGGCATGCTGGAGCCTTTCAGATGGTAGAACCTCAATGCTTTACCTCCTGAAATCATCATTAAAGATTTTAGTGTGTGAACTGGGGGAATACAGAGGTTGTGATCACAGCACATATCTGGCTGGGATACTTCAACCAGGGCCTCTTCACAACACAGTGGCTAAGTTCTCTATGCTCAAAAGAGAGGGAATCGAGTGAAAGATGTGGCTTTTTGTGAGGCTGTTCTTAGTTGTCAGCTTGACACACATGAGAACCTCAAACAAGGAATTGCCTCTACTTGCCTAGCCTATGGGCATGTCTGTGGGCATTTTCTTGATTGCTAACTGATGGAGGGCCTAGCCTCTGTGGGTAGGTAGTGTCATCCATAGGCCTCTGGTTTTTGTAAGGAAGCTAGCTAACTGAGCACCATTCTTTTGCGGTCTCTTCTTAAGTTCCTGTTACCAGGTTCCTGCTTTGGCTTTTCTCCGTAATGGACTACTATATAGTTCAAATAAAATAAACCCTTTTCTTTCCAAGTTGGTTTTGGTCAGTGTTTAATCACAGCAACAGAGAAGCAGGCTAGGCCATTTAAACTTTTCCTTATCTTGTAAGATTTAGCATCAGTTTCAGCCGATTTTATTGTTAGAGCAGAGTCAATGAACTCAGGATATTAGCTATAATCCTTGTGAATTTGCAGGATACATCACATACACATTTTTTAAAATTTATTATTTTGGACAGTATTTCACTATGTATGCTAGTTTGACCTAGAACACAGTATCCTCCATCCTCTCCCTTTCGAGTGCTGGGATTACAGGCAGGAACTCTCATGCTTGGCTACAGCACCTATTTGAAACCTTCACATCATGTAACAGTCTTGTTCCTAATGACCTATCACAGTTAGAAACTTGCATTTGGAATCTGAAGATACCATTTAAGGTTGTGTTTCTGCCTTTTCCTGGCAGCACAAACAAATCAATCTTTCTAATAGCATCTTCTCTTCTTTGGTGTGGTAGAAAGAGATAACAGTGCCTGTCTCAAAAGATTAATAAGGCATGTATGTTGAAGCCTGCTTGTGTACCTGCTTTGCTAACTATAAACACACCTTAGGATTTCCTTGTGCTTTTATAATCTTTTTCTTGGATCATCAATGAGCATACGGGGCAAAATCCGATAATAACAAATAAAACCACAATATTGAATTAGCAAGGAAAAATGAGCATGAATATAGGTAGGGTCTTTTTATTTTTTTTAAAACTCATGAATATTAATGTGTTTATACTGTAAGTGACACATATACTTTTTTGTGAGAGAAACTACTGTTAATTATAAAAAAAAATATGTTCTTGGAAAAAGATAGAGTCCTTAATATAGAAGGCTTCAAGATTTTATACTTAGGTAAAATGCTAGAATGGTGAATATTAAGAAAAAGTAGTTATTCTAGGAGAGAGACATGCAATGAGGGAAGAGGATACTAGAATGGGAAAGAAAATGAGTGGATTACAGTACTGCAACTTTGAAAACATTAATAACATGTTTAATTGTGCTTTGCTTATTTACCTGTGGTGCTGGAGATTAAACTCAGGGCCCTGTACTTATAAGCACATGCTTAGGTACATGCCCAGCCTTTTCTTACATTATTTATACAGCTAAAAATAATTGGAAGAGGACATCTCTTTATAATGTGAAATGTTGGTTTTGGAGGACAAAGGTAAGGTCATTTCTGTAGTCAATGTTCTCTATCACGTCTCTCAGGGGTACCACATGGTGTTCTGACTCCAGCATTAATGAAAGGGGAGATTACTCTAAGATGGCAGGGATGGGGTTAAAAGAAGGGTAGGGAAGGGCAGGTGGGCTGACTCTTCCCCTTTGTGGAAGATTGAGGAGAAAATCTGACCAAAGCTGTCGAAGCCCCTGCTAGCTGTAGCAGGGACAGACAGCACTGTTGCTAGCTTACTTTTTACACTAAGCCCCTGGGGTTCACTGACAAAACTCTAGGCTTTTACAATAGGGCAGATGACAAAACTGTTCTCCACCTGTGCGTTTTGCTTCTTGCCAGCCTTGCTTGCTTTTTGTCTAACTTTACTGGGTGAACAGAAAGAGGGTTGGAATCCTGAAAAGTCACTAGCCAAGTCTTGTGAACAAAGGGGGCCTTGTTAGGCACACTGGCTTTTGCAGTTTAATTCATCAGTTCAGATCTCTGCATTTCTAGTCTTTGCTCTCTGCAGAGGTGGGACTCCCTGTAGGTGCTGTGAGTTCATTGTACTGGAGGCCTGGCCAGCTCTGGTTACATCTGTAAGCCTGGGTGGTTCCAAGGATCAGTGGCCCTAAATAAATAGCTGGGATGAACCAAAAGAAGGCAAGCAAACTTTGCTATGGTTTGGCCTATTACTAAACGGACATTATAACAAATTTCTAACATTTTATGAGTTGGTTTCATAGCCCACCAGGATGGCACCAGTGCAAAATACAGGAGTTGAGAATAATAACTCACTGCTAGCGAAACTTAAGGGGATTACCAGGATTGATTGTTAAGTTTGGGTCTTGATGCAAGGGAGGCCTGGAGTGCATAAACCAGTCCTGAACCCTGCTTAATGATAGATTGACTTCCTCAGCAGACAGCAGTGACTGAGTCCAAAATGGTGCTGTTGGAAAGAGTTATTGTTTGGGTATGAAAAAAAAAAATCTGCATTCAAGTTCTGGGCAGATTTATGGGAAATTTGTTAGGGCCTGGAGGAGTCCTGGTCCAAATTGTAGCTCCTTGTGTTCCCCCTAATGCTAGGCAACTAATGGCATGGTGCTGCCAGTGTGAGCGTGTGGCTGCCATTTTCTTCATTTTTGTCTCATCCTGTTCCTCTTGACAGGGCAATTTTGTTTTGATGCTGTGCCAGAAATCCTCCAACAATGAGCTACTGGAAGGCCGAGAAAAGGAACTGTGTGCAGTACCGCAGGCATTTTCTGGTGGACAACAGTGTGTTTCATGGTGAGCTGTCTGTTGTATTTATGTCGCTGAAACTCGCCCTTCCCTTCTGACAGTACTTTCATTGTGCTATTCTGGATACAAATATGATCTAATTGCACTGAACCAAGGCTAGAGTTGACTTGCTTATGGCGAATTATCTCTCTTAAAATTCCACTGGACCCAGGACCCACAGTTGTTAACAGCAATGGTGTTCCCTCTTCCTGCTTCCCAGCCTTTCTGCTCTTCTTGACTTCAGTAACATACCTTTCCAATGTGTGTAACTATTTGGGGCTGGGCCTATAGGAAGTGTTCTGTAAATATTTGACAGTCATTATTTAGTGTTTATTACCACCATGGTGTGTGTTTTCTGGATTCAAATGTTAAAGTGTACTGATGGCCATCTGTTCTAGTAACTCTTTAAAAAAAGTCCACTCACTTATATTGCTATCCTTTGGGCACTGGAAACTTAACCTGTGTGTCAGAACACAAGAAAACATGACAGAGCAGTTTGCCTCAGTTCAGAATGTCTGCTGAGTAGATCACTGTGGGTGAGCAGACAGTAATCAATATTAGTCATTTTCATGACAAATAAGAATTATCTTAAACCATTGCCTTTAACCCAGGTGACGGCTCCTTGTTTCATAGTCAGAGATAAGCTTTGTCCATCCTGCTATCAGGATTCCCATGGGAGAAATTTGTCAGTTAAAAGATTTCTGGGGCACTGGAATTTGTGGAGCAATGCCCACCGGAAGCCCAGGACACATACAGGGAAGCACAGAGGTTTCATGAGACCTAGGAGCTGCCTAATTAAACACGCTATCATCTGTTTTCAACTTTCTACATCTGGGTTGATTCCTCATTTTGGTGACATATTTAATGTGTATCGTTACTTTAAAAATAAAGTCTGTGACAAACCCGACTTCAAATGCTGGGTCCGGTAGGTGTGTGGCATTCTTTGTGTGACCCGGCAGAGGGTGACTTTATTTTACAGGCGAAGGAAGGAAGTTCAGGTGAAATGATGGCGGAGGCTGACACCTCAGCTAACCTTTCAATTGCAGCCTGACTCTCGTGATGTCATAGTGAAGAACCCTTAACAAGGAAGATATGTGAGGGAACTGGAATATTACTACAGAAGTGGAGCCCGGTCTTGCTTTCCTCTGAATGTCACCCGAGGGTGCTGTTGGCTGCTTCATGTGCACACTCATGTTTTTGGCTGTACGGTATTTTCTGTTAAGATTTATTTCTTTCAAGACACAGAAGTTTACTGTATTGCTGAAATGCTGCATATTTGTTGCTGTCTTCCTTATTTTAAATGTCTTCATCCAGAGAGCAAAAACGTAGTTACAACTTAAATACAATATGTTTTTATAGATATAGTCCAGTTAATGTGTTATGATATTACTGTCTGTATCAGTTACTTTTCTATTTGCATTTCAAGGAAGGAATTATTTGGCTTAAAATGTGAGGGCACGATACATCTTTGGGGAAAGCATGGTGTCAAGAGGGTTCTAACTATAGAGACGAGAGCATGAGGCAGCTGGTCACATTTCCTCCACATGAAGAAGATATGAATGCTTGTGCCCAACTCATTTTCTTCTTTCCCCATTTTATTCATTCTGGAGCTCCAAAATCAACACTTAGGGGGATCTTTCCCCATCAGTTAACTCTCTGGAAACTTTCTCACAGACACACCCAAAGGTGTATCTCTGATTCTAAGCAGTCAAGTTGACAATGGCAGTTAGCTGTCACAAAGAACTCTATGTGCAGGGTCTGATGATGAGCACCGCTCTGTGGAGCCCATTGTGGGGCCCTTCATGATAGTTCATCTCATTTTGTGGATGGAAGAACTAAAGCTTGGAGGTTTTTGAAGTGGAGATTTGACATTCAAACTCTGATCTCCAGGACTCCACAGCAATATTTTGTTCTTTTCAGGTTGTCATTCTATTTTGTGAGATGAGTACTCCACCACAGAGCTATACCCTCAGTTCTTGAGAGGTTTGAATTCCATTCAAGAGTCCTTCTCTGTCATTAGCCAATAGAGGATGAACTTGAACGAATTAGACCATGTGAGTCTTCCCTGTGTAAAATAAGCATTCTGGGCTTAATAGGGTTAAAGGATTTCTTTTTCCTAGTGTTTTAGACTCCTTTGAAGTATCTCTGAAGGTTACAATCTTTACATTTTTTTGCCAGTGACTTTTCATCAAACCCAAGACACACAAGGGGGCAGTGTAGCACTTAAAATGTGAATCGGTTACTTTCCACAATTCATGAATTACTTCTCAAAGGAGCTAGAGATATGAAATCCTTTCATGATTAAGAGCATCAAAGCCAGTTAGAAGCATGATTCTGTTCATTTGTAATCCAAGTAGTAGCTTGCAAATTTGATTTCTGATAGGGTCAGTTATCATTTTTGGTTTCTTTGCCTGAAGAGTTGCAGTGATTGTGGATCGAAAGGCACCTTGTTCATCTGTCTGTGGGGACTGACACTTGAGTAAGGTAGGAACAGTGAACTTAGCAAGTGTGTTGCTGTGTGTGGGGGACTCAGCACTTGCAAAGTAGGGACAGTGAACTTAGTGAGTATGCTGTGAGGTGTCAACAGTGCATTCAGTGAGCTTGTTGGTCTGTTTCATGTTAAGGGGGTGTTAGTAATACTATTTTGGGGATTCCAGAATATGGAGAGAGAGAAAGACAGGATAAGAAGTGCAGAAGAGACCTTTATTTGGAGGGAGGGGCTTCCAGAGCAGGTGTGCTTCCTAATCAACTGTTGCTTAGCAATTTGGCTTTTTGTTGATGTTGATGACAATTCTTGCATAGTCAAGTAAACCAGGATAAAGATGGAGAAAACATTTTACAGCACAAAGTGGAAAGCATCATTCCACAAATACGATAGCCTTTTAAAATATGCCCACTTGAACGAGCAATTGTCTTCACATTTCTTTTCCACAAAGACTTGAGCAGTGTTCCCAGGAGACAAGAACTACATTAAAATGAGGACTCTGTGCACTAAGATTCTCAATAAAAGCTAAAAGTGTAACATCTGTGTTCATAAAGCACATCGTACATTCATTTTCTGGCTATAGTGGCAATACATTCTCATTGGAGATGATTTAGAATAATTAAGGAGACTGTTTAATCCAAGGAACATCTTGCTCTATTCTGAATTGTTATCTGTTTGCTGATTAACTTTTATCAACTAGAGGCAAACTGGAGTCACCTTGGGAAGAGGGAACTTCAAATAAGGAATTGCTTCCATCAGACAGGCCTGTGGGCATGCCTGCAGGGCATTTTCTTGATTGATAAGGGAGAGCGCAGCCTACTGCCGGTTGTACCCCTCCTAGTTAGGTGTAAGTGAAGGGGCCAGGCAAGCCGGTCAACAGGATTCCCCTTGGTTTTCTGATTCATGGTTCCGACTTACAGGTTCCTGTCTTGAGTCCCTGCCTTGGCTTCCCTCAGTCCTGGACTGCGACAAGGACGTACAAGCCAAATAAGCCCTGCTCACCTAAAGTTGTTTTTGGTCATGGTGTCTGTCACAGCAACAGAAACCCAATTAGAACTCTGTTTCTTCGTCTTTGTAACACTGCTCATGCAGGAATGGGATGGATGGAAAAAGCTGGCAGGTGTCTACTAGCTGAGAGATGAGCTGGCAGACTGAACTAGCTCTATGTTCAATTATGAGAGCAACTCGGTTAGGAATTGTAAATTTTGGTGTTCCCACTCTCTCTTTTATTCTCTTATCTATGTGGATGTGTGTTTCTATGTGGATATGTGTGTACGGGTCTTCTCAGAGGTCAGTAGAGGGCCTGGGATCCCCTGGAGCTGGAGTTGCAGGAGACCGCCAGTCCTCGAGAAGAGCAGCAATCAAGCATAACTGCTGTGAATTATGTAACTACATTTATTTGTGTCAGTTGCTTCCCCCATCTGACTCTCATCATAGGTGTTTACAAGGAAGCAGTGCCTTCCAGACATGACAGGGTTGATACACGTCTGAATTCAGAGACCGTGACAGCAAAAATTCAAGCCAGACACAATCCCAGCATGGAGAAGGGGGCCAGACACAAAGTCTCATTTCTAACCAGAAGCTATTTGCGATTGGCACCTATGTAAAAACAATATCAGTTGTTTCATTGGAGGTACACAGGGTATCTCAGCCACTCTTCAGGGCAGGCTCTATAGCCAGGAAGAGTTGGCCATCACAAAAGGACTGGTTTTTGTGTGCTTTGGTTTTGTTTTGGTATTTTTTTTTAATCTGTTTTATATGTATTTATTTATTTTTTCTTTTAGGAAGAACATGAGTCAGATGGATAGGGAGGTGGGGAGGATATAGGAAGAGCTGGGAGAAAAGAAAGAATATGATCAAAATATATTAGATGAAATTTTTTTTCAAATAGTAAAAAGCAAAAGAATTGTCAGTAACACCAGTAGGTTTAAACAATACCGCAACTGCTAGGGTATACTTCATAAGTACAATATGGTTCCTGGTTTCAGAACAGAAACTGAATAGAAACAGGAAATAAGTTTATATTATGGAGATCGCCTGACATAGTCTACTGCATTGACCTTGGGCATTATGTAAATAGGGAAGGTTAGGAGAGGCAAACAAGAGCCTTATGGAGACTGGCTTCAGGGCCAGATACCCCTCTGATTCTTTTACCTGATAGGGAGATGTAGAGTGAGGGTTGAAGAGGTACTTCTTAGCCTCCAATGAAGACCCAGAGATGGGGCTGGAGAATGGGCTGGCTCTCTAACCTCTGATGGAGGAACTGGCTGAAATGCTGAGAATTAGGCATGGTGGAAGTACGGGGTCCTAAACAGGATAATGGTATCACTTGGGAACCTTGTGAAAGAGATGAAAAGACTGTAAGAGCCAGAAGATGGGAAGTAGGAAGCCTAGGTATGTCTTCTGGCTATGATATAGTAGCCTTGCACTAAAACTTATAAAAGCACCCAAAATTTTAAAAAGATAAAGATCATACTTTCAAATGAGCTGACATGAAGCATACTTGTCCTATAATCTTTGGTTT